CTCTTAACCACTAAGCTGTCTCTTAAGGCCCTCAATTCCACTGCTTGTCTGCAGATACCCAATGTTTTTGGTTTCAATTGAAGAAATTAATTTTCCCCACTGAATTATCTTGCCTGATGCCTGCATCAGAAAATCAATTGATCACAAATATATGGGTTTTACTTCAGCTTATTGTTTATCATGTCATCTTTTATATTTTTGCAGCAAGGCTGGAGTTTAGTAGGAAATGGTTTTACTATAGATTTTAAACACAGACATTATGAGAAAGGGAGACATGTAAGTGCACAGTAGTGCATGTCCTAGAGTGGGCGTGGACTTGAGAGAGTCGCCTATCAGGTCCACTTCATATTGAGAGAATCATGATTGTTCTTTCAATACTAATTATTGCCAGATGTAATAATTTTTAACTATCCTCAGTCAAGAGATAACCTGGACTCAGTCAAGGTGAATTATACCTTTTATACTTGGTTAAATTTGATGATCATGTGTGTGTATGAGATTAATGCATCATTTGACTTTTAGTGCCACCCTAGACAGGCTTTGTTATTGGCTTTATATACGTTTTGGGAAATGAGTTCTATTTTCCCCCTATGCCTTGGGAAAATAAAGAGTTTAAGGTGATTTATCATTTCAAATGTTTGTGATGCCTTGAAAAGTGTAGAAGAGTTTTTCACACTCTGGTACTGGTCTTATATGGAGGTCCCAGATCTCTGCAAAGCGATCTGTAGGAGCCAGGCACTGTGCAAAGCATCATTTATCCTCTCCCCAATCCATGTCACCCACAATCCTTTATTTGTCCTATATTCCCATCATCTCTTCTGTTATCTGGGTGTTGCTATTTAATCTAAAGCCAACACAGTCTGTGAGGGTGAACATATATGCTTTCCTAGACACATTCATCTGTCTCCCCATCCAAGCTGGGGTCTCAGCGTCATGGTTACAGTACAGTTTGGAGCCAGGCTGCTGGAAGTGAAGCCTTACTCTGTCATGCATAGCCATGTGACCTTGATGAAGTCTTGGGTCACTCAGTCAGAGATAAGGCTGGGAGCTGCCTTTTGTGGAATTGTAGAGAATATACATGATTTAATATGAATGAGGCAAGTTAAACAACGCAAAGTCTTTAGAATATCAAGGTTAAGCATGTGTAAACATGTCAACTCTAGACTACTATGTCTGACCTTAGCTTCTTTGCCTACCAAATTTGACATAAAAATATCCTGCTTGTCACTGGTGTTTTTCTGACTCAGCGGTTTCCTCTTTTCTTACATTGTCCTTGGTTGGATTCTACCTGCCGTTAAGCTGACTGAGTCCCCTTCTATGCCAAATAGCTTTTCTATGACTCAGACAATATAGATCCTCTAGCGTCTTTCAAAGTGCATTCAGACAGCCTTTTAAAATGGATTAGGTCCTCATGGCAGATTCTCTGGAACCAACAAAGGGAATACATCCTTCATGAGGCCCATGGGGTACATCATGGTCTCAGTTAACCATACATGTGTAGGTAATCGCAAATCATCTCCATTCTTAAGTATCACTCTTCCGCATTCTGCACCTTTCAAACCAGCTCCCTTCTAGATGCTTCTCAAACTTCTCATCAGCATCTTAATTAATCTCCTCTCTTTTCTCAACCCCCACTCCATTCTTTTAGTTCTAACATTCACCATCACACCCCCAGAGAAATTCCCAGGTCACCTCCCCCAGCCAGACTCCATAGTTTCAATCCTCTGAATTTCCCCAGCTGTCAGACCACCTGGACCCCTTGTCAGCAGCCAGGCTGCTCTTCTCCATCCTCCACCATGTTCACCAGTGTCATTCACAGATGCAATCTCATTTGCTTAACATTCAATAGCTCCTTGATATTGCCAAGGGGTGGAAATTCAGGTTCCATGATTTACACTCTGAAGCCCCACTTAACCAAACTACCACCACATGCAACAGAATACAAAGCTGACTTCTTCCAGGTCAATTTTTCCTTCCTTTTCAATCCTCCCTGCCTGGGTCCTGGATTTCCCTGGCTTTTTCTTGCATTTCTCCCTCTCCACTGGGTTATTTTCATTAGCATCCACACTTGATTCTGTTCTCAGTTTCCTTCTGGTCCATGGTTGCTTTGTCACTAGGGTGGTTTCAGGCTTGACCCTAAAGATTTGTCTTATGTTTCCACCTGACCAGTCCTATCTGACTGCTGCTCTTCTCAGCCACTGAGCCTGCTTCATAAAACCCAGAGGAAATAAAACAGCTTTGTCCTTGGCTCACTCCACTCCCCCAGCAGCAGGCACTGCACTGCTTACCACTCCTGAAGACCATATTTCCTTAAGTCAGATGAACAGAAGGAAAATCCTATGAAGCATCCCCTCCCCATTTCTTGACCTTTTTGGTTGTAAGACTAACTTTCAACAGCTGAGTCACCTACCCAGTTCTATTTCCCAGCTCACACAGTCTATCTCCACTCCAGCTCCCTAGAGTCTCATCTGTCCACCTTGGGAATTCTCTCAGCATCCTCTTTTACAGTTCCAATTCAGACGTGTCTGCTGCTCTGTGTCTAACTCAGACACCACTTCACAGTCAACATCTCTACTTGAACTTGTCGTTAGCATTTAGAATTCACACGTCCCAACTGACCTCTATGCCAGAACTGTGTTCACATGGAGACCATGCTCACACACAGACACAATCACATAAGGCACATGTGCATGCTCACAGTATGTTCACACATATGTTCACATAAACACACTCCAATCTTCCACCAAAGTCTCCCTTATCAGTCAGCAAACATTATTTCCTGCTATCAACTGGATACTCCACCTTGGTGTGCCCTTTCTTCATCTCCAAGTCCTTCATGCTTGATTCCCCAAATATGTCATGAATGAACTCATTCCTCTTATCCCTGAGAAATCACCACCATTTTGAGCTAAACTCCTGTACTGTGTTACAAATCTCCCACCTCTCACCTTCCCCTTCTGCTACCATCCGAGTTCTTATACTCTGCATTGTGCTTTTAAACACGTGGGCTTGATCCTGTCACTTGTCTTCTTAAATCAGCACATAGAAGGAGGAATAAGCTAAGGTGGCATGACTGAGAAAATTCCAGAGAAGAGCAACATGTCCGCCGGAGGACAGGGAAGGGACTACATTCCACTTGAGTACATGTGCCAAGGCTCTGAGGATTGAAATCTTAGACACTTTAAGAAAGGCCAGTGTGGCTAGAACACAGCAAGTGAAGCAGATAGTGCTGGGGCAGATGAAAAGTGCCCTGAGTGAGCTCTGAGGGCCCTGCAGGTCAGGAGAAAGCACTTTTGAAATTATTTCTAATCAGTTCACCCCCATTGGCTATATGGTCCCCCAAACAGCACCTACACCTGTTTTCATCCCTTTTATCCTTTTCTCGTTCCTGTGTCTAGTTGGCCCCTGCCATGTGGTAGGTGTTAAGTCTTCACTGAAAGTGTAGAGAGCAATACCTCCAGCCTGGCAGCTAGGTCAGGTGGACAGTACTCTCTGAACGCACTGACTCATTCTCTCTCCCAGGGCCCTCATTTTACCTCTCTCATGGGTTCTTAACCTGGGGCAGTCTTATCTCTATGCACAGTTACTACCTGGGTATGTTTTTGATTGTCACAGGAAGGAATATCCACCAAGAACCATTTAGCCCACAATGTCGGCAATGCTGTCTTTGTGAAACCCTCCTGCATATTGTTCTGCCTGGCTTATACTATGTATAAGCACCTTCTGATCATACAGATTGTCTTAGGTCCCCTCCTCTTGGGTCTTGGACCTTCTTGATGAGATTAACCCTTTGCTTTGCAATTGACTTTGTCATGGGCATTGTGGAGCTTACATACAAATTAAGCATCCCTAACCTCAGAAACTGAAATTCAAACTGTGACCTGCTCCCCAGTGTGAAACTTTCTGAGCGCTGTCATAATGTCACAAGTGTAACATTTCACACTTGACCTCATGTGATTGAGCCAGTGAAAACCAGGGGCAGTACAGATGCTAAATAGACTCCCTTCTAGATACATGTATACAGGGTGGTTGAGACAGATTTTTGTACTTAGGTCCCATTCTCAAGATATTTCATTAAGTATATGAAAATAGTGACACTTCTGGAAGAGTGTGAAATGCTTGGACTCCAGGCATTTCTAATAATGATTACTCAACCTACATGAGCCACACTGGCCACATACCTATCCTAGTGTTCCTGGCCGGCATCTTTGTAGCACCTGTATGTGTCAGGAGGAGGGTGCAGATCAATTTCCTGTCAACATTTGAAATGCGTTTGAACTGACCAGTCAGAAGAACCTAAGCACCATCTTCTGCAAAACTGCATGTCTCCCCACATGTTAGTTGGTCACCTACACAAACAGCTATTTATGCGCCCACCCTGGTAGCATGGTTTACTCAAGACACTTTGAACCACTCTGTGTTACTCAAGTTTAATCCCAACAACATGAGACATAGAATTAGGGCATATGACGGATTCCTAACAATGAAAAAAATAGGGCTGAAGCTTCATTTGCAGTTGGCTCTCCTGTGAGTCACGTGTGCTTGAACGGCAAATGTGGACTGCTGCGGATCCTTCAGCAAAAATGGAAATCCCTGTGGCCACATGCTTGCATGTTTCTTATTTTGCATACACCAGCAGGAACTCTTGAAGCCCTCTTCTTTGGATTCAGGTTTAGAAATGGACTTGGTGGAAATGTTGCACCTTGGGGAAAGGTCCTACCCCTCCCACCTTGCCACATGGATGGCTTTTCCCCCCACCACCTTGGTCCTCTCCCCATGCTCTGGTGGCTCTGGTCCTGCTGGCTGGGAAAGCCCACCAGCCATGATGCT